CTTTTATTGCTGCTTCACTGACTATTTTTCATTGTTTAAAACTTGAGTAATAATATTTGTTCAGAGAGACACGATCAATAATAAAACATCCTCATTAATGTTCAAGAATGGTCAAATCCACCTTTATTTTGTGATTTACAAATAATGTTTATTGACATGGGTCTGGTATGGCTCTTTGCTGATTGGCTGGTGCCCGGACTTGCACTTCCGTGGTTCTTGCAAAACGTCTAGTGTATTCTGATTCCTGACCTACTCGCTGGAGAGAAATGAAACTGAGCGAAGGCATTAGGTGACACCAGCCTGGCTACTGCCGAGGGACTATAGATAGAAATTTGCTTTTTTTTTTTTTTTTTTTTTTTTAATATGTGCTATCCCTTTACAAATAAATAAATAAATAAATACAATAGATGTTGCTGCAGCAAAACTTGAATTTCCTTCAGAATCAATAATGCCTCTCTCTCACTCTATAAAGTTTAAGTGGAGGAGTTTTTGGACTCCATCCACCTGCACCTACTCGACTTCTTCTCACTGTGAGTGTTGGTGATGATCAGAGCCGCAGATTGGCAGCCTCGCTTCTATCAATCTGCCCCAGGACAGCTGTGGCTACAATAGGAACTGAGTGTGAAATTGTAACGCCATCAACACAATGTACCACTACTGTACAACTAGACTCACTGCACTCTTCTTTTGTTCTGACGGCCAGTGTTCTTTGGCTATTTTAACACAACATGAGAGTGAAAGCAGCATGGTCTCAAACATGAATGATGAAACAATGTCAATTATATAACCAAATTGCAGAGCTGCCAGTCACCCACACCGGTAGTTAGGTCAAAATAACTTCTCGAAACATTGTGGTGGGAGACAAAAGTCAGCTTTAACCATGACAACTGCCTCTCGACACAATATTGACTTTTGTTTTGAAATGACACATGAGCGACTCCTGCCTTTACACCGCATGTTTTTCTGGAGAGCCTTTTCCTCGCTGTATCAAAAGCCCGATGGAGACGTAACATGGTCTGTTCACATGACTGCAAGACAGGCTTTTCTTACCCCCTCATTGTGCAGTACAGGCTCCTGACTTCATAATATCAACATACAGAAGGAACAGAGGTCCTTAGAAACATGGAAAATATAACTGTACCTCCACACTGCACTGGAACATTACGGAAATTGTAAACTTGGTACATGCTCCTATAAGTTTTATATAGCCAAACGCCAGCCAATGGATCTAAGCAGGAGGTATTTCCTTGTGGTGGAATGCAGCAAAGTAAAAATACTGTACTTAAAAGTGTACTACGTAACTTTTTGGTTGGGCTCTTTCGTCTGCTTGTCTCTACAGACGCCTGGAATGTTCCACAGTGAAGTTTAACAGCTCTGCCTTACATTTTTTTCAATGACAAATGGTTTCATAACACAAAAACACCTAAAAACAGAGGTATTGTGATGGTGAGCAGCATCGCCTCTCCACAGATCTGACCTGTAACTTGGTCTGGTTTGGTTTCCATAAAGATAGAAAGGTTTATCCATACCGTGAAACATTCCAGACAAAGGAATAACATCTCCATGGACCGTCCACCAGAAAAGTTACACAATGCAGCTTTAAGCAGATATTTTTTACTTTTGCTACACTACATTTGAGAGTATATGTCTGTACTTTCTACTCCACTACATTTTTCAACAGACCTGAAAAATAAAATTATTTTTCTTATTATGCAGGGTGTCCCAAAAAATTTGACATAATTTCGCAGGACAGTAATTTTGACAATTCTTGTTGAAATAACAAAAATAAAACTATAAATTTAAACTCTTGATCTGTTTCTACACATTCCGTGAAAATTTGAGGTTCTGTTTTCACGTTGAGCCGGTCATTTTGCGCTTTGGAATCTGCTCGCATACAGTCATCCAAGACCGTGCAGCGCCATCAATGCAAAATTTTGAAAAACTTCACCAACTAGCAAACTAAATTGGACCAAAAATTTAAAGAGGAAGGATGATTATGCAGACTAAAGGATTATGTGTGTGAGCATATTCCAATACGCAAAATGACTTCCTTCAACCTGAAAACAGAACAAAAATAATAATTTTCTAGACATTCTGTGAAAATTTGAGGTTATTTCAACAAGAACTGCCAAAATGACTGGCTTACAAAATGATGTCAAACTTTTTGGGACACCCTGCTGAAAAGTGAGGGGTTTATTTTTAGAATACATTTGTAGTTTGAGCAAACACACAAAAAATACAAATAAAAACAGATTTTAAAAAATGAATTCAACCTTTTCTGTTGACGCATTATAAGACCTCAAAATCAGTGCAAAAATACTCTTTATTCTTTAAGTACATGGGGTTAAATAGGTACTTTAATACTTTTACTCAAGTACATTTTCACATGATACTTTTACTATTTTTTCGCTCCAGTATCTGTACTTTCACTTAAGCAACAAACCTGGATACTTCTTCCTCTACTGGCATTTCCCACAATGCAACAACATCAACCAATTTCAAACACACTACAAAAAAACAATCTGGATGAAAATGTTTGAACTGAAAAGATGTATGATTTTTTTTGGACTTATGCACAATTCTGAACTGTAATTTCTGAACTGTAGAAGGGCTCTTTGGCATTTCACGTCATGTTATTAAACTTTTAACGGCCCTATGTTACACAAAAGGGACTTGTGAGCTTTGAGACATGTTATAATGCTGTTACCTCCTGAAAAACACACCTGGAGTTGTGTTTTGTCTCATTCGTAGACGCTTGAGTAACCTTTATATCAGTCTGTCTACATCTCCAAAGATCAAAATGCAAATGATTCTGGTGAAGGTGTATGAAGTTTAAAAAAACAGTGGACCACTCCTGTATTACCAGAAAAGAGAACATGGAATACATCTGGATTTACAAAGGAACTACACTCTGCGTGGACTCTATGTTTATCAGATTACTTCAAATACATGTTTGTACTGTTTGTACAGTTTATTTTTATCAGATTACTTCTATTTGTACCGTTTATTTTTAGGCCCGAGCGCCGAAGGCTGGCGAAGGGCCAATTAGTTTCGCACAGCGAAACTCCAAGTGGCCGAAAAATGGAATGGCGCGACGTGACTCGCCCGTAGTGACCAGGGACCCTCGCCATCACGTAGCAATGCGCCTGAGGTTTCCGAAAACGTATAGTTTGTCGGCCAAAAAAAAGCGGAACATTGTTCTCGTACCGGAATATTATTTAGGCCCGAGCCCCGACAGGGCGTAGGGCCTATTGCTTCCGCTCAGCGGAGCGAATGGGGAGCGACGTGCGCATGTCCGAATGCGACAAGACGACATGCAACTATGTCCACGGTCGCCCCCGGCACGAACAGCAGTATCCCAGTAACCCACGCCCAAGGCCTGGCTCATATTTACTACTGCTAAAATGAATGGAAGTCAATGGAAGGTCGGGGGGCGACCCCGACGAGATGGTCCAGACGCGCCCGTCACTCACCAATGACCCCACGGTGACGTGGGGAAGGTCGAGAGCTTTCAAAAAACGTATAATATGTTGTTCTAAATTTTTGGGATATATTGTTTTTGCTCGAATTATTATTAGGCCCGAGCCCCGACAGGGCGTAGGGCCTATTGCTTCCGCTAAGCGGAGCGAATGGGGAGCGACGTGCGCATGTCCCGAATCCCTCGTGTAATTACGACAAAAATAGAACATAGGCGCCTCAAAAACTTCACATTTCATTTTTATTATTATCACTGTGTTTTACTCACAGTCTGTTTGTCTTTCAATGATAAATGACTCACATCTAAATCCAAAATACAAACTGAAAATGCTGAAATCC